TTCTTGCCACAACGCTCGGCCACATGGGCGAGTTCAAAGGCAGGGGGCGGCGGTGATTCGCCGTAGGCGTCTTCGATCCGCCGCCTCCTGATGATTTATCACAAGGGTACCTGGCGTGCTGAACGTCTTACGGTTTGGTTTTGGTTCTTTTTCCCAAGGAGCTCTCCCATGGGGCTTCGGCCCGTCCCGCCGGCCACGCGGAAGGCTGCTCGCGAGGTGGTTCCAAAGGCTGTTCCTGCCTGGTCCCAATGGCTCCAAGATGGCCTCCAAGACGTCCAAGATGGCCTCCAAGTTCGCTCAAGATGGTCTAAGATGGCCTCTAAGACGGTTCATGCGAGTCCAAGATGCCTCGAAGCTCAAGAGGCCTCCAAGAGGCCTCCACGACTGCCCAAGAGGCCTGCAAGACGGCCCACGAGACATCTTCCCAGAGGTTTTCCAGGAAGGCCCCAAGAGGCCAAAATCATTGATCGTCCGAGTGCGGTTGAAAGACGTTGGCATTTGCTTGTTGTCGGACTTCCGACGGCCCGAGACGGCCCAAGAGCCCTGAAGGATCGCCCCAAGATCGCCCAAGAGGCCTCCAAGATGGCCCAGAACGGCCCAAGAGGCCCTCAAGACGAACCCAAGAGGGCCCCAAGACGGCCCAAGAGGCTTCCAAGACACCCTAGATGGCCTCCAAGACGGCGCTGGAGCACCCCAAGAGGGCCCCAAGTCAGCCTAAAGAGGCCCCCAAGACTGCTTCCGACGGCGTTAGACGGGCCAGGGGGCCATCAAGACGGCCCAAGATGGCTCTAAGATGGCGCAAGACGGCCCACGAGGCCCCAAAAAGCCGCCCAAGACGGCCCAAAAGGCAAAAATGATCGATGTGCCGTATGGTTTTGAAAGATGTTGGCATTCGCTTGTTTGCGGCCTCCCGACGGCCCGAGGCGGCCCAATAGCCCTGAAAGATCGCCCTAAGATCGCCCAAGAGGCCTCCAAGATGACCTCAGAACGGCCCGAGAGGTCCCCAAGATGGCCCCACCCAAAGGCCCCCAAGAGGCCCAAGGAGGCCCCGAAGATGCCTCCAAGAGGCTCCCAAGAAGCTCCCAGGAGGCCCCAAGAGTGCCCCCATAGGCTCCCAAGATGTCCCCTCTCCTGATCGTCCCCGCCATCCTCCCCCATGTGTTCCCCGAAGGGTCTCTACAACGGCTGGGGGGAAACATGGTCCGATAGCTTGGCGGTGCTCTTGCCACAACGCTCGGCCACATGGGCGATTCCACAAGGCAGGGGGCGGCGGTGATTCGCCGTAGGCGTCTTCGATACATATGTGTAGGTATGGTTGTATGCATGCATGCATGCATGCATGCAGGCGTGCATGCATGCTGGCATTTTATGAATGCACGTACTATGTACGTATATATGTTTATATATATGTATATATATGTGTGTATGTATGACTGTGTGTATGTATGCATGCATGCATGCACACATGTATGTTGTATGTATGGATGCATGTATATATGAATGCATGTGTGTATGTATGTATGGATGGATGAATGTATGTATGTATGTATGGTTGCATGTAGTTGTGTTTGTGGGTATGGATGCGTGTATGGTCGCACGCACGTATGTATGTGTGTATGTATGTATGTATGTATGCATGTATGTGTGTATGTATGTATGTGTGTATGCATTCATGTATGCATGTATGTATCTATATATATATATATATAAATACATGCATGTATGTATGTATACACATGCATGTGTACATACGTGTATATATATGTGTGTGTGTGTGTGCATGCAGATCTGGGTACCTATGTATATATATATATATATATATATACATACACACACGCCAGCACCGATACTGAATCCGAACATCGCCTCCCAGCAGCTGCATCCTAACCAGGGCTCCCCACGGGAGCGGCCGAAGACGACGCAGCCGGCGTGAGGTTGAGAAGGCCGCCCGCAAAGGGAGGGTACGGCGGCGGGGCGAGGGCGCTCGCGGGCCGCCCCACTCCTCCTCCTCCTCCTCCTCCTCCTCCTCCTCCTCCTCCTCCTCCTCCTCCTCCTCCTCCTCCTCCTCCTCCTCCTCCTCCTGGGTTACCTCCCCTTTGGCGGCGAGCACCAAGCAATAATTAAGGTAAGGGGGGGCTCTTTGATCAACCCTCCTATCCTCCGGGGAGGTGCCTCGGGAGCCTCCGAGCCCTGCGAGGAAGCAGCGTGCTCCTCAGGAGCCCGCCCTCGCGCCCCCCCCTTTCTGCGGGCGGCCGAGCCCGTGAGGGTTGAACCAGGAACCGTCAATGTGCTGTGTACTGGGCCCTCCAGATTTCAAGCCAACCCGTCCAGGCAATGCCCTTGGATTGAGCCACTTCCGCTGATGGGCCCCCTGCGGCTCAACACGCATGCGACACGACACTGACATACGCAGGACCGCGGATTCGCTGCTGCCCTCGACGGCTGCACACGCGATCCCAAAAAGTGTGGGGGGAAGCTGCGGTGATGCCACGAGTTGGCGCACACATGCCCACACTGTGTGCAGTGGAGGCTTTCGAGGAGCCTTGAAGGCGGGGGGAGCTTCTCAGAAAACCCTTACCTTCGTGGACGGCCACTCCAGCCACCCCCTCGCCTCGCTCCCAACCGAACCATCTGCCCTCCACGGGTTCCCTCCAGGGTCCGTCCTGGGCAGCTTTCCATGCTACGACAAGCGATGGCACGAGGACCCTCCAAGAGGCCTGAAAACCTGACGTGGCGAACAAAAATGCCACATCGCGCAAAATCACGACCGCGGCCCGAAACCCCATCTTTCTGCTGTATCTTTCCAGCGGGATCGACCTGTGATGCTTCTCGAGCCCAAAACCTGGCGAACACGCCCCGTGCGAAAATTATCCCGGCAAAGCAACCTAACAGCGATGTGTAGGAGCATATCTGGAAGCATTCCCCTTAAGATTCAGATGAGAATCCAGTTGTAGAATTGTGCTGTTCTCGCAGTCGTAGTCGCATTCGCGATGACAGTCGCAGTGGCAACGGCAGTCACAGACACAGCCTCAGCCTCAGCCTGCCTCAGCCTCAGCCTCAGCCTGCCTCAGCCTCAGCCTGCCTCAGCCTCAGCCTCAGCCTGCTTCAGCCTCAGCCTCAGTCTGCCTTCAGCCTCGGCGTCAGCCTCAGGCTGCCTCAGCCTCAGCCTGCATCAGCCTCAGCCTCAGCCTCAGCCTGCCTCAGCATCAGCCTCAGCCTCAGCCTCAGCCTGCCTCAGCATTCAAAATGTGGCCCGGGAATGAGTTCTGGGAACTCGAAGAACACGAAGTGGCCTACAGTTGGCTCCGGGCATTCAAAATCATGCCCAGGAATGGAGTTCTGGGAACTCGAAGACCACGAAGTGGCCTACAGTTGGCTCCGGGCATTCAAAATGTGGCCCGGGAATGGAGTTCTGGGAACTCGAAGAGCACGAAGTGGCCTACAGTTGGCTCCGGGCATTCAAAATGTGGCCCGGGAATGGGGACTCGAAGACCACGAAGTGGCCTACAGTTGGCTCCGGGCATTCAAAATGTGGCCCGGGAATGGAGTTCTGGGAAGTCGAAGAGCACGAAGTGTTTGACTGTTGCATCCGGTTATTCAGAATGTGGCCTGGGAATGGGGTTCTGAGAGGTCGACGAGCACGAAGTGTGTGACTGTTGGTGAAAAACGAGCCCGGCACAGGCCCGGCCGGCAACTCCCAACGCCTGCCCGGACCCCCCTGTGGAGTGATCTGTGAGCTCTTTTGAGTCAACTAGAAACCTATCAGTCTACGCTGTTAGGTAAAAATGCGACACCCGGATCTCAGGGGAGGACCCTCCAAGGGACCCCCAACAAACACATAATCCGTCCCAAGTCCCAGAGGCCGAGACGATGATGATGTCATGATGCGATTGGCTCAGGATGCGTTGCAAGATTTGCGGTCATGATCTATCGGCCCTCGTCTCTGGAGCCCGTGCGGAGCCCTAGGAAATGTAGATCGTCTTTGTGTGTCTGGTGGGTGGAGCACGTCGGGGCGGGGGGGCGGTGGGACCGCCACAACGTGCGCGCCAGTGCCAGCATGTGAGGGGGGGTCCAGGCCACTCCCAACGCGTACGATCGTTACGGTTATCTGGGGGGGGGGGGCGGGTAACTGCCGTTCCGCGCCAGATGATAAAAAAGAGGGAAACAAATCCCCAGGGAAACCTTGGACAGATTGAAACGAATCATTATCATCACCGCTTGCTCCTCCGATTAACCAGCGTCGAACTTGTCCTTGTCCCTAATGGCAAGCCCCAGGCGATGACATTCTGGAGATTTGCCCATCGAATCCCAAATAATCCTCCAGATCGGCACCGAGGTAAGATGATGCCAAACATAGGGATAAGGACACGGTCGGGAACTTTCGCTTAATTAGCGTGTCGCGGCGGCGGCCCCGACGACACGCTAATGAGGGTCTGCGCGCGGAACATTCGCGTGTCGCTCCGCCCCGCGTTGCGCAAGGCTCGACAGCCTCGGGCCAGGGGGACGTAAGACCTGGGCACAGGGGACTCGAGAATCCCCGACGAGGTCGTCAACAAAAATGACGAGGCCTCCCGCTGCAGGACATCCCACGACACGCCTCCTCGTCAAAAAATCCGAGGCGCGGCCGTCAAACAACGATGGCGAACCCGGGCCCTGGCAAACCCGGGTCTTACGCTCCCCGCTTGGGCGTGGCTTAATGGGGGGGTCACAAATGGGGGGGTCAGAAAAGGTCCCTTTTCGTGCCCCTTTCGGGCCCCTCCAGAGCCCCAGGGGGCTCGTTTAGGTACCGTTTGGGTACCTTTTCGGACCACGCTCGCCACCCCCCCATTTATGACCCCCCCATTACGCGGCGCCCAAACAGCCTCGGGACATGGACGCCCGGGGACTGGGACGCGGAGGGCGTGCCGCTCCGCAGCGGGGCCAGACCCGGCGGAGCCGCGCGCGGCCCCACCGCTCCCGGCGGGCACCGGCCGGCCACCGGAGTGCCCCGCCCGAGGCGC